ATGATGACGGCATGAACCGCTTCATCTTCTGTCTCTGTTGTGTTATTTGGCGGGTCGAGGGCATCTGCTTCTTCGTTGTTTCCGTTGTCTTCTTGGTTCTCGTTGTTCTCTTCATTGTTGTCAGCATTAATTATCTGTTGTACTGGAGTGTTGTCTACTTGCTCTGCTCTTTCTCTTGCTCTCTCGGCATGTAATGCGTCGAGTTCTTCTTTGGTAATCCAGCAGTATGTAGCATCAGTGTGCGCGATTTCTCCGTCTACTCCTGCTGTTGTAGACTTATGTTTCTTCTTTAGATGTTCTTTGATGTCGCTCAATTCTGTTACATATGTGTTGCATCCTGCTTCTGGACATTTGCGACAAGCGTGTTCTTTGATGTCTTTGAGTGTCGGGTAGACGATTCCTTTTGGTCGGTTGACTCCTTCTATGACAATACCCCAAAAGAAGCCGTATCTCTCGATGTATACGTTCTTGGCGTGTTTCTTCGTTTTCATGTGGTCCATGAGTTTTGATCTGTCGTTGTTCGTGTATGAGCAGTCTGCATAAGGGCATTTGAATACGTGCGTATCAAGGTCGATGTTTCCGTTTTCATCTTTGTAGACAAACGTGCCTGTGCCATAGGCTTGGGCCAAAAATTCAACCCAGATGTCTATGGTGTGAACCTTTGGGTCAAAGCTCGTTTTCGCGATTTCTCCTTTGAAGTGGTCGCAAAGTTTTCTCAGTGATTCGAATGCCTTGTCTTCGTGTCCTTCGTATGATTCAAGTGGGCATCTAAGACCTGGTTTTGGTAATTTCCCTTCTTCTACTAGGAAATATACAAAGATTGGTGTATCTTCGGCGATAACCTCTTTGTTGACTCTGTAGTCTTTAATCGTTGTGTAGAAACGTTCTAAGTCTTCAAGTGTTTTGATGTTCGTTAAGTAGTCTTCACATTGTATTAAAAATTCTGTAAGTTTTTCGGCTGAGTTAATGTATCTTCCATTGTTGTTCTGGCTGTTCGTTGTATCATGTTCTTCTGCGTTGGCTAGAGCTCCTTCGACAAAATCTGGGCTGTAATCGATGTCTTTATCAGCAATTAGTTCCTTATTGTTCAGTGATTTAATCGGGATATTGTGTGCGCTGAAATCTCTTAAAAGTAGAGTCAGAATTCCGAGATCTCCTTTTGGTGGTTCATCCATGCATGGTACAAACCTGAGTTGACAGGTGTCTGTGATGATTATGGATGGTTTCCGATCTGTTCCTGGTGGACTTGGAGGGAATGCTTCTTCAATTGTTTCTATGGCTTCTCTTCCTACGATAAGTCTGAATCTGTTTGTTTCTTCAAGTGTGTCAAAAATTGCGACTTGTGTTTCTGGAAATAAATTTTGTACTGTTGGTTTGTCGATAGTTTTGTAAAGGCGTAAAATGTCGTTGAAAAAGAAAGATATATCTGGTGATAATTTTTCTGTGAGATGTGAAATCATATGGATGGCATGATCTTCTGCTTCGGTGAATAACTCGTCGCAATACGAGCATCTGTATTTTAGAGGGTTAAGTTCTTCGATGCCTGTCTTGTCTATTTTGATGGCCGTTATTCTTCTAAATGTGTCTTCTGTTGTTTCAAATGTATTGATCATGGGGTCAGTGTTATGGTGCTCTCTGATGTGTTCAACCATTCTTTCACAATTGTCACAATGGAAATTACAGCCATCAGCGTTACAGTGGAACGGTTCTGTACTCAAGTCACGGTCTTCAGGTGAGAACATGGATGCGACTAACAAACTGATGGGCAATGATGCGATGGATTGGCTAAATAATTTTTCCGAAATCCAGTAATTCTCTATTTCTTTCGGGTAATCTAATCTGAACTCCATCTTCGATAGGCTCCTGATTAAGTCGGAGTAATTTTCTGGATTCAACGCTGCAATATTTTTCAAAACGATATCTAAATTTTGTTCCTCAGGCTTCAAAATCGTTTTCGCGGTTGGCGTGAAACTGTCTGTTATAGCTGTGTTGCCACAGTACACGTACGATTGCAGTGGAAGCTTCTCGGGACCTCCTGTACCCAAAACAGGAATCATACCACTAGACTACTCACCCGCTGCACACTTAATTTTTAAATACCAGTATATCCAATTAAAACCCCAAATTCACTTCATTTTTAAAATTTTCTTGAACAAAACATTTGAAAAATCAATGAATATTACTCGAAATACAAACAATTGTTTATATGGAAAATCAACACAGCATTATTGTCCATTAAAAGAGAAACCTTCGAATTCTTTGTTGCAAGACAAAGGAGAACCAACACTATCTGTTGGTGTTTCTTGTGTAAACTCTGTAGAGAAGTTAACTGGATCAGTTCTTCTTAGAGAAATCGGTACAAATATTGGTTTTACCTTTTTCTGGAGATAATCATCGAAATCACGTCCTTGGAAGAATGGATGACTCTTAATTTGCTCAAATCCGAATCTTTCACTCGGATTCTTCTGAAGTAATCCAAGAATTAAAGACTGTGCGTCAGGATTTGCGTTTCTAGGGAAAGAAACACGGCACGTAGCGATCATCATCAACAGCACACTCTTATTTTCATTAACAAACGGTTGAACGCCGAACAGCATCTCGTACATCAGAATTCCAAGAGACCACCAGTCAACTGCTGGTCCGTAGCGTGTATGAGTGATTATTTCCGGTGCCATGTAGTTAGGAGACCCGCATAATGTCGATGTTGTGTCTTCTTCCATCTCTTTTGACAAACCAAAATCCGTAATTTTCACGTGGCCTTCAGAATCGAGGAGAATGTTCTCGGGTTTGATATCTCTGTATATAATGTTATTGTCGTGTAGATATTCGATAGCTAAAGCAAGCTCAGCAACATAGATTCTGACGTCATGTATGTGAAACGCTCCTTTTCTTTCGAGATGGAAGAATAGTTCGCCTCCAGGAGCGTACTCCATCGCGAAATATAGTTTTGTCGGTGTCTGAAATGTTGTTTTAAGGGAAACAATGAAAGGATGATGAACTCGGACTAATACATTCCTTTCTGTAAGAGCATTTTGAACTTTATCGCTATTGACTAACATCTTCTTGTGTATTGTCTTGATTGCGTATAGTTCTTTTGTTGTATTTTCTTCACAAAGCATAACTTTTCCGTAATAACCGCGGCCGAGGACGGATATGATTCTGAAATCAGCCATACTCATTCCGACTCTATTCATTGTAGCACCGATGATTAAAAATGCCCATTTGTTGAAAACAGGTTCATCTGGAGAAGAAAGTGTGATAACTTCGTTCTTGTCAGTGATAATATGTATGCGTGGTGGTGGTTTTTTGTCGTCAATTTCTACTTTAACGTCTCCTGTTAGTGAAACGAAATTTTCGTAATCTTCGCCTTGTGATTTTTGAATCATGAGTTTGTTCTCTGTTAATATGCAGTATCTCCTGTGCCACAACGAGTTTTCGGGATCTTTCTTATGCAACCATCCTTCAATTGTTGTGTTCATTTTGAACAGAAAATTCAATTGTTCAAATTTCATGAATTTTGGAATCGTAAAAGATATTTGTTGCTATGTATATTTTAATGTGTCACAACAAAATTGGGGAATTTCGATAATCGTTTCAATCAGAAAAAAGATGATCCATAGTTTTTCTTATAAGCGCAACATATGTTTGAACATTTACTATAACATAAGAAAAGCACTAAAATATTGATGGAATAAGCCACTCGTTTTTAGTTAATATTTCTTCCGTGTAAACCTATTAATTACCTCAATTTTTAAATACCGCACGTAATGTTTATAGAAGTGTTGAAAATGAAAGGTTTGGCTTCTGTAATCTTATGCATTTTGACTAAACATAAGTTTTAAATAGTGTATCTCTAGTTTCTCTGCAAGATTTGTCAATTTGTTTTGCATATCTCGATTTTTGCACCGAATTGTTTATAAATTGAATTAAATTTGTATTTGCTTACTTGATTCGAAGAGTTTGATACTTTACAAATAATTTTAAAATATCGCTACTGACATTGGTTATTGGGAAAATATGGACTATATATCGTGTGTATGAGGGGAAAATCTTATCAATAAGAGAAAAATGATAAACAAAATAATTTTGATAATGAAATGTAATGAGTAGAGGCCTTAAAATATAATAGTGTAGTTATATATGTCCTCCTGTTATTTTCTTTCGCTGTTCTGTTATCCAAATGACATACGCGGTCAATTTTGATAATCTTCGTAATAAACTTTTGGCATCTAATCTTTAAAATTTTCATGATTTGTGTGTATCTTAAGATTTGGAGCTAAATAAAGTAAATTAACTTTAAGATTGAATTTTCAGATATTCTCAATTGTAAAAAATGTCATTTAGCAAAAATGAATGATGTACGAATTTAGTTGTACAATTAAAATTCAACAAGAATTTAAAAGTGTATTTTTTTTAAGTGACCAACTTATTTTTTTCGAAAACAAACGGAATACGAATAACATGAACAATATCGCTTTTTATAATCGATATAAAAGCTTTATATTTACATCAGTTATATAGATCATTCAATTTTTTATTCATATCGGATATTGAATACTCAATTTTGAAAGAATATTCAAAAATTGATTATAAAATCAGAGAATTTAGAACGAAATATATGAAAAGATAAATAATTACAGTAAAATATAAAAAATAACATCACAAAATTGAATTAACTTCAGAAAAATATAGCGTAAAATTAATCTTTCATTAATCATATGAATTGCTTGTCTGAAACAATTACCAAAACACCAAAATATATAGGCAAGTATAAGGTATTAAATGTCATTGGAAAGGGCGGATTCGCAACAATGTTTTTAGCAGAAAATCCTTCGACCACAGAAAGAGTAGCAATAAAAAGAGTAAACAGACATGAAATAACAAAACAACACTTTCTATTTTAACTTGAAAACGAACTACGAATCGCATCACGGTTAGATCACCCCAATATTGTCAAAGTTTATGAAATTATCTATGAAGATGATGTTATTAATATTGTAATGGAATATATGTTAAATGGAGATCTTCAATCAATGCTCGAAGCTGACGTTCATTTTACATTTGAAGAGCAATTAAGATTTGCGTTCCATATTCTACAGGCATTGTATTATCTCCATTCGCGCGGTATTTCTCATAGAGATTTAAAACCTGAAAATATCTTATTTGATCAAAATTTCAATCCAAAAATTGCAGATTTCGGTCTATCCAGAGAGAATTCATCCAATTTATGTACATTTTGCGGATCACCTGCATTTATGGCCCCTGAAGTCATTCAAGAAACCGAATACGATGGACGAAAAGCAGATATGTGGGCTTTTGGTGTCACATTAAATATTTTGGTATCAAGAAGATACCCTTGGAAAAATATTTCCAATGAAATGCAATTCATTCATGCAATAAAGCATAATAAACTTGAAATTGAGATAGATCAGCATGCAATCATTGGAGATTTACTAACAAATTCGTTAGTAATTGATCCAAATGCCCGTGCAACAAGTTCTTATCTTTTAGATCTGATTGCGAACAGACAAAAGAACAAATGTTTCATCAGTAAGTTAGATTTCCAAAGAAAAGAATATCAGGGCCAATTTCTTCCACCATTGTATATTAAGAATAACATGTCGTCATTCTTTAACAATAACAATGGTATTGGAAAACGGCTGAAGAAATATAATCTAGTTGTTAGAAAAAGAGTTGTAGAAAGTTGTATGAATTACAAATAAACTATTTACCATGTTATGTATGTAAATTTATTAGATTTTTATGAGTGTTATTAAATTTATTCAAGAAATTTTATATCCGGAAAGAATCCTGAAGACCAACTTTAATTTTCAATAAGTCAGATGAACTATTGTAACTTATTGCTTTTTCCCTTTGTTTAAATGCTCATGAATGTCCCCAGCTTAATAAATAGAAAAAATCTTCAATTAAGAAATCATTCATTGCTTTTACGAAAATTGCCGGCACATACACTAGAGCAACTTGAGAAAAAGACATTGACAAACACAAAGAATATGATTGTTATGCTTTTGTTCTTGCTCCTTTATCAGCTGTCTATTTTCTCATTTATTTGTTTCAGCATCTGTTTAGTTTTTTTTTTTTTTTTTGATTCAATAAACAAAATATGATTTTGAATATTCTTTGAAATTGTTTCATTGCCATTAGTAGTTATTTGTGCATAAGAATCTATATATACTGTCAAATAGAAACAGGTCGATGCAAGTAAAGAAATGGAATCTTTCCCGTGAAACTAATTCATTTTCAAGAAATTGATGCGTGAAATTGAATAAACCAAAGGGTGTCATCTAATTGAGGAAATGATTGTGGATATATGAACCATTTGGTTGTGACACATTCAATAATGTAGTGGTCAATAGAGAGAGCCCATTTAATTCAATTTAAAGGATCATCAAACTCAAATCTAATTTGGCATTCTTTGATATCCTAACTATTGGTGTAATAGTCTGACGATGAGATATTTACAACATTGTCACTCTAAATTGAATAAAAAAGAAAGATATTACGCTATTATTAATTACAAAACTCAAAATATTGTAAATTCATAAACAATTAATATTCAAACAAACATATTTATTCTTCAGTGGAACTTTCTATAACTTCGAACTCTCCATTGGAATGACATCTAAATATAACATTTTTCTCTTGCCAAATTCCTTTGTAATCTTTGTACTCTGGCTCGTTTTCTGAAGTCTGATCACCATTTCCGCATTTAATCTCTTCAATTTGCTTTTGTAAACGATTTAATCGTTCAGTTAAGATTTCTACTTCTGCAATTTCTTTTTCTTGGCTGATATATTCATCAACAGTATTTAATGAGTCTTGTGATTGAAGAATATGTATTTCATCAAGGTCAACTGACATTTTTTTATGCATCATTTGATAATCATTATCAGATTTTGTTTTGTAGTCGCGAATATTGCTAGATATATTGTCGATCTTCTCGTTAATCGACTTCATAATCTCAGAACTGAGATTGGCATATGAATTTTTCAAATCTTCTTTCTTTTCTTCAATGTTTTTAGTGCTTTCTTCAAATTTTGTCACGCCATTTTTAGTTTTTGCTTCATATTCATCAATAATTTTTTCTGCTTCTTGAGTTTTTTGATCAAATTGAGCTAAAGTTTGTTGAAACGTTTGAATGATTGTATTTTCTAGTTCAGACTTAAGATTATTAGCTTCCATTGCTTGATTATAGCAATTTGCTCTGTAAGTTTCAATTTCATCGATTATTTTGGTAATATTTTCTGGAATATGCTTAATTCCGTTCAAAGTATCGGAAATATTATCATATTGCGTTGTAACTGATCTTGATAGCTGGGCAACGTTCTTTAAAGCTGCATCAAATTCATCTTTGAAACTAAAGAATTCTTCATGAACTGGTCTCATCTGTTTTGGAATTGCCAATGTAGAGATTGTCTGTTGGTTGAGTCCGAGTGCTTGAATTCTCTTTGAAACTGCTATAGAAGTATTGTGAATTGATTCCATTCTTGGTCTAATTCGTTGGATTTCATCAATAATGTCAATCCCGATAGATTTAACACCTTTTTCGGCTGAGTTTGCTAAATATTCATATGTTTGCTTTAATTGTTCAATTCTTGGGTTAAATTCATCGATTTGATGGACTAAATTATCTTTGAGCATGTCATATTGACGCTCATCGAACTCAACAACAGGTGCATCCTTGAGATCTGGAGCGGTGTCAGCAAATATTGGTTGATTTTCTTCAGACATTGAAATAACGTATTTTCTTCAGTTGGTGATTTGGAAAAGAAAATCCCTTTATTTATGTGTAACATTACATTATTAATCAAGAAATTTTGGATTTACAGGGAATACGAACACTATTCTACAATTCAAAATTTTGATTGATGGTGGAAAGAGCAAATTAAGACCCAATGTTGGGTGAGAGTTAAGAGGACTATCTAGATATTGAATTTTCGTAACTTCAATAGCAAAACATAAGGTTTTGATCGAGAAATCCTTCCACATGGGTTCAAGAATGTATTCAAATTTTATGGAATCAAATTTTAAAATTCTGGTTCAACTCTGCTTATGTATTATTATTCGAAATTGAACGCTTATGTCAATAAAGAGGTAGGGCAACGATAGAAAATTTTTGGAAAAAAAGTTCGGAGATCTTAAACGTATCATATTCCCTGCATGGTTTGGTATCTTCCGCCATGCGTTGTGCCAAACATATTGACACTTTCCAATAATTAATTTATGGTATGAGTCACAGAGTTAGATTATAAAAAGAAAGTAAATAATTGCAATTAGAAATCATATATGTCGGAAATCAAATGTTGATGAGCAGAAACCTTTTACTCATCATAAAAGAGATAAATCACTAAAGATTTGTATACATTAAAATTTGATATTTGGTGCTCGAAAACTGTCTGATGGGACTCCTCCAAAATAAACCAATCTATCGCTGAGGACCAAATTAGATGATGTGGATGGTGTATTCTCTAATTCTAACTTAGGAAGAATGGGAACAAAACGAATGACGACAACAACATGTCAAACATAGATTAAATATCTATGAATCAATAAAGTATACGTGCATTGAAGGTGATAACGATCACTTGAGGCTTATAACTCTTTGACTAAATTATGCAATAATTAAATATAATCATTTTTATATTTTTATACTGATAGTAATTAATATACTATCCTGCTTAATAAATGGTATGATCAAATTTGTTTGAAAATTTAATTATGTATATGAAACTATGTCTTCTATATAAAAATCAAAATTTTCTAACGAACCTAGATTGAACCTTTATGAAAATCTATCATTTTTGTTAATTGAGTTAATATGAATCTTTTACATATGTATATATAGCATTGATAGCTTATATAATCATGGTTTATTCCATATTAACATATTTTTTCAGTTAAATTTGTTAATAATATCATGTAACAAATTAATTCAAGATTAGAATGTCTACAAAATGCTAACAAATAAGAACAAAATACGATTTCTCGACTTAAATTTTAATATGGAGTAGTTTTTCGTTTAAATCTAATTAAAAATGAATAAAAACTTATCTTGTACTATTTTCATTCAAAGATTTTAATAATGTAAATCATGCATTTTCATAATTCAGTACAGTTCTTTTTAGAATTAAAGTTGATGAGGATGATATTTGTGATTTAAAATAATTTGTTAATGTTCACCTTTTATTCATCACCTTGTGGTATGCCCTAAAGCAATAGCATTATCAATTCTGCTGAATTGATCAACTCAAAATTCCAAAAAAAATTCAAAATTTCAAAAATGAAATGAAACAATTTGAATTTTCACATGAAAAAATTAATTTCGAAAAAAATTTGGAAAATCAAAGTATTTGATAATTAGTCAAATAATCAATTTATATCGTTTTTACTCATAAAAAACAACTAATTTTTGATTTTGATATCATATTTGATAAATACTCATTCCAGAGTTGACGTAATGTATTAATTATTGTTAGAGATATTGCTTTCGCAGCAAAATTCTTATTTCATGAAAAAAAAAAAAAATGATTTTATTCCAACAAAAACAAGTAAACAGATGAATGGAAACGTACTATATTTTCATAAATGTAGTAATCAGCGTGTCGGCTTTTGTTTATCATGTTCGAGTCAAAATGTATTAACTTGTAATAAGAAATATTCGAAGATTATATGAAGTATTGAGCATTCTTTGTAGAAATATTTGTAATTCATTACTAACATATATAATAAAGTTGTTTTTTTTTCCTTATTGCAATAATTTTGTCTGATTTTAATAACTTTTCATGTATACGAGTTGTGTGAATATGCATCATAATATGCGTAAATATACTTATTTGCGACGAATAATGTGGTTGCATAATGGAGGTGCTAAATTTTGATTTTTAATATGGGGCTTTGGTATGTATAATCATGTTCTTATCTCAACGTAGGGGTATTGGTGCAATATGATTAAAATTTACGAGGTTGATCTTAAATTGAATAATTCTGGAGTATAAATCACAATGCAGCTAATTCTATGTTAAAGATAGATACAGATTGTAGTAATCAATTAGGGAGTACAAATTCATTCTTTCATTTCTGTCGTATTGAGCAGAAAGGAAGAGATCATAACCCTAGGAAAAAAAGCCCAAATTTGTCACTTTTCATAGTACGTTAAACTCAATTCGCTCGGCGAATGCCGAGCACACGTACTCATCATTCAACATAATATTCTCATTCTTTGGTTATTATAGTGCCAGACAACACAAGATTTCAAAGAATTACTTGAGTTTTCAATTAATCTTAATCCGATTTTAGATTTATCGAGAACTCCATCATCACAATCACATACTTCAGTGCGGTAACTACAATTATCCATATACAGAAGGAAGTTCTTTTCGAACAACTCATTTGGAGTCTGTTTTGGGAAGAACTTCTTTCTGTCCGACTTAATTTCATAGTTCCTGATCAACCAAAAGACAGAAACCACACACTATCTACTTAGGAAAGGAGTTTTCTAAATCTTCCTTAAATTGAGATTTTACGAGAGATAACCCTTCTATTGCACTTAAAAATGAACATTTTGATATCTTTAGTATCACACATGGTCATATATAGTATTTCATCTACATGAATACATTCATCTTTCGAAGTCTCTCATTAAATGGGAGGCTTCGAAAGATGAATCGTTTTATTCATACAACTTTAAATCTCGAACACATTTAGAGAGTGAGTATATCATTTTATTCTTGTTTTGAGTTTATTCTGATTCAAAATTGCAGTGAAAACAGAAGTTCACACATCATATCTGAATGTGAGCTCATCTATACTTATACGATCTCAATACCTCCACTCTAAGCATAAGAGGTGAAGTTATATAAAAATTATCAGATGCGTTGAAGTCTCAAAAGTATTGCCTGAATGCTTGTTTCATATTTGTCCAAGTAGTTTCAATGAATAAATGTATTGTTTTTTATAATTTCGATTTATTTTTAGAAAATATTCAATATAAACCTTTATTGTGTTATTTACATCTCATAAATTCTCTGTCTAAATCATATAAAAGCGCGTTTTACCCCTATGAATCAAGAAATTCATTCAATATTCATGGTATATTTATTAAATTAATATACGATTTACTAATAATTAATATTATATCCTCATAAATAGCAATATATTTTGGTAATCTATGATAATCATATACAATATTTGAAATCAAATTTTCATTAGTTTAGGTTCCTTGTTAATAGTAAACCATTATATTTATTACTAATAATAAAATCTATGTGTCGTATTGAAATTCAATAAAATTACTTATTCGGTCCAAAAAAACAAATTAGATAAAATTTTTCTTTTTTTATGTAATTTTTGTTTTTCATTTTTCTCAAGATCCTAAGTTATGTTCTAACTTTTGACATCATATCCTATCATGCTAGGCTATATATTATAGCATATCCAAAAGGCAAGGAAATCTATCAGAGAAGCTTTTTGACCTATCGTTGCCCTACCTCTGTCAATAATTTAATTGAAATTAATTACTTAGCAACTAATGATATAAATGTATATCTTGATTGAAATATATTTTTATAATAAAGATAAAAATTTCAAATGAGTTTTTAGATTGTGTAGCTTACAAAAATTCAGACATTGAAATTTTAACTATACGCATATTTGAAAAGTTTTTCTCAAGGATCGATTACAATTTCTATTGTAATATAATTTTTTACAATTAAATAAATCTGATCACTTTTAAGGTCAAATTTTGTCATGCATTGGATACATCTGTTATAGACCGAAAATAGATTTTTTCAGTTTTCTCTTCAAATAATTGAAAGAATGATACTATTATAGGTTTATTATATTATATAGCATATAATCATGTTATAGCCGAAAATTATAAATTTTGAGAAGATTGAATATAACACAAATAAATTTGAATGTAAGTTAAATTGCTTGTTGTTTTTAATAAGTATTTAATGAGAAATCCAATATTGCAAAATTCAAATTGAATGATTGAAAGAACAGAAAAAGTCAGTCTTTTCAATTCCGAATATGTTTCATTGCATTTATAATTATATGGTAAATAAGATATTTAAACGTGATTTTTGAAGGAAAATTCACAAAATTGAAGGAATTCAAATAATTTTTATTCAAAAATAAACTAGTTATTTGAGTTTAATACTAATTATCTATTCAAACTACAAAGTTTGTAATTTAAAATATTTTGTGAGATCAGATTGAATTAATTCAAGGTTCTTTTCAATTAATATTAATGACCATATTACGCATTATGTCATTTTTTTAAAAATTAATTTTTTGTTAGAGATAAGAGCTAAAACTCGGTAAACAACTTCTTTATGTCTAGAAAATTCTATCTTGCCTTTTATTTTTTTCTCGCTGTGAAACGTATTCGGTCTTTTTTTTAAAAATTAATTTTTTGTTAGAGATAAGAGCTAAAACTCGGTAAACAACTTCTTTATGTCTAGAAAATTCTATCTTGCCTTTTATTTTTTTCTCGCTGTGAAACGTATTCGGTCTTTTTTTTAAAAATTAATTTTTGTTAGAGATAAGAGCTAAAACTCGGTAAACAACTTCTTTATGTCTAAAAATTCTATCTTGCCTTTTATTTTTTTCTCGCTGTGAAACGTATTCGGTCTTTTTTTTAAAAATTAATTTTTTGTTAGAGATAAGAGCTAAAACTCGTAAACAACTTCTTTATGTCTAGAAAATTCTATCTTGCCTTTTTATTTTTTTCTCGCTGTGAAACGTATTCGGTCTTTTTTTTAAAAATTAATTTTTTGTTAGAGATAAGAGCTAAAACTCGGTAAACAACTTCTTTATGTCTAGAAAATTCTATCTTGCCTTTTATTTTTTTCTCGCTGTGAAACGTATTCGGTCTTTTTTTTAAAAATTAATTTTTTGTTAGAGATAAGAGCTAAAACTCGGTAAACAACTTCTTTATGTCTAGAAAATTCTATCTTGCCTTTTATTTTTTTTCTCGCTGTGAAACGTATTCGGTCTTTTTTTTAAAATTAATTTTTTGTTAGAGATAAGAGCTAAAACTCGGTAAACAACTTCTTTATGTCTAGAAAATTCTATCTTGCCTTTTATTTTTTTCTCGCTGTGAAGCGTATTCGGTCTTTTTTTTTAAAATTAATTTTTTGTTAGAGATAAGAGCTAAAACTCGGTAAACAACTTCTTTATGTCTAGAAAATTCTATCTTGCCTTTTATTTTTTTCTCGCTGTGAACGTATTCGGTCTTTTTTTTAAAAATTAATTTTTTGTTAGAGATAAGAGCTAAAACTCGGTAAACAACTTCTTTATGTCTAGAAAATTCTATCTTGCCTTTTATTTTTTTCTCGCTGTGAAACGTATTCGGTCTTTTTTTTAAAAATTAATTTTTGTTAGAGATAAGAGCTAAAACTCGTAAACAACTTCTTTATGTCTAGAAAATTCTATCTTGCCTTTTATTTTTTTCTCGCTGTGAAACGTATTCGGTCTTTTTTTTAAAAATTAATTTTTTGTTAGAGATAAGAGCTAAAACTCGGTAAACAACTTCTTTATGTCTAGAAAATTCTATCTTGCCTTTTATTTTTTTCTCGCTGTGAAACGTATTCGGTCTTTTTTTTAAAAATTAATTTTTTGTTAGAGATAAGAGCTAAAACTCGGTAAACAACTTCTTTATGTCTAGAAAATTCTATCTTGCCTTTTATTTTTTTCTCGCTGTGAAACGTATTCGGTCTTTTTTTTTAAAAATTAATTTTTTGTTAGAGATAAGAGCTAAAACTCGGTAAACAACTTCTTTATGTCTAGAAAATTCTATCTTGCCTTTTATTTTTTTCTCGCTGTGAAACGTATTCGGTCTTTTTTTTAAAAATTAATTTTTTGTTAGAGATAAGAGCTAAAACTCGGTAAACAACTTCTTTATGTCTAGAAAATTCTATCTTGCCTTTTATTTTTTTCTCGCTGTGAAACGTATTCGGTCTTTTTTTTAAAAATTAATTTTTTGTTAGAGATAAGAGCTAAAACTCGGTAAACAACTTCTTTATGTATAGAAAATTTAACATTCGTCTCCCATTTTTATATATTTGGTTTAGAATGTTCGAAAATGCGTAATATGGTCATTAATATTAATTGAAAAGAACCTTGAATTAATTCAATCTGATCTCACAAAATATTTTAAATTACAAACTTTGTAGTTTGAATAGATAATTAGTATTAAACTCAAATAACTAGTTTATTTTTGAATAAAAATTATTTGAATTTTTTCAATTTTGTGAATTTTCCTTCAAAAATCACGTTTAAATATCTTATTTACCATATAATTCTAAATACAATGAAACATATTCGAAATTGAAAAGAATGACTTTTTCTGTTCTTTCAATCATTCAATTTGAATTGTGCAATATTAGATTTCTCATTAAATAGCTATTAAAAACAACAAGCAATTTAACTTACATTCAAATTTATTTGTGTTATATTCAATCTTCTCAAAACTTATAATTTTCGGCTATAGCATGATTATATGCTATATAATATAATAAACCTATAATAGTATCATTCTTTCAATTATTTGAAGAGAAAACCGAAAAAATCTATTTTCGGTCTATAACATGCATTGTATACATCATGGTAATTCATTTTATCCCAAAATTAAATGAATTTGAGTGACGCATTTAAAATCTCCAACTTTTTTAACTTTAGCGATAATTCCATTATTCAATTACATATGAGTTAATACAATCTAGATATAAAAACGATGACTCGCATTTTTTATTTGCCTGATTGAAATATGTTCATATTTTAGAAATATGCATTATTGCAATCATTGCAAATTCGTAGGCATACATTTTTGAGAGAAATTGTAAATCAGTCTCAGAAGAAAAATCTTCTCTTTCTGAGGGATAAGGCCAAGCATTCAATTTTGCTCCTAACATAAATGTATTTGGTGTCTAAATAAGGATAGTGAGAACATTGTAATAATAGACGTTGCTTTGAAAAAGGCTCAATGTTATTGAATACACTCTCAAATAAATATAGAATTATGTGTTCTGTAATTCATGCATACTCACCCCTATGGGCGAATAAAAATATGGATTTTTCGTTAATTGGAACCGCTGAGTACCCTCTTCCTCGGTTTGATCAGCATTATCTCATGGAATTAACACATCAAATGATGTTATGTTGTGCAAAAGATGCAACTGTTCTTCGCCTTTCCGGTGAATTTATCATAGTTGGCGATCTTCACGGAAATATTCGCGATTTGTTAAGAATCTTTGCGTACACAAACACTCCATTAAATCAAAATTATTTGTTCCTTGGTGATTATGTCGATCGTGGTGATTTTTCAATAGAAGTTTTAACTCTTCTCTATGCACTTAAAGTCAAATATCCTTCTAAAATCTTTTTACTCCGCGGTAACCATGAATATGAGGATACAAACACATACTACGGCTTCAAAGAATCCACACTTGCACAATACTCCCAAGAACTTTATGATGAATTCAACAAATCTTTTACTTATATGAGTTTAGCAGCTATCGTTAACAACGATACATTCTGCATTCACGGTGGTTTGTCCCCATTGTTGAAAGATATTGACATGCTTGAACAAATCAAAAAACCACTCAGTGCCTACACAAATAATGATTATATTACATTAATGACAGACTTAATGTGGAGCGACCCAACATGCGACCACCTTCGCTACTATCCATCCCCACGTGGGTTAGGCCATTTGTTCGGTATGGATCAGGTCGAACTGTTTTTACGCCGAAACAACTTGGCTCGCATTATTAGAGCTCACCAATGCATCGCAAATGGTGTAGAAAACTTTTACAACAAAGTTCTATTTACGGTGTTCAGTTCATCAAATTACTCGGCTGATCTACATAATAAGAGCGGAATTATCATAATTACACAGAATGGATTGAACTTATACAATTTCCCACCTCTAATGTCTCTAAGAAGAGAAGAGGCGTTCTATAAAATGCAAATCATCAATATTAGAGAATCATTTGATATGCGATCATCGGTGTCATCTATTGATCGCGCTGTTAAACTTTCCCGTAGAAGATCTTGTGATGATGCATCGAATATTATCAATGCCTTACAAAGTTCAGCTCGTAGACCTTGCTCTATATTATCTTCATCTAGCAATCTGCTTGTATAAGACTTTTCTTTAACTCCATGCTTTAAGCATCCCTGTTTTTATTTAATTTGTTATTTTTTATTTCTCATGAACTAAACTATTCATGAAAAACGTTTCTGAATTGACATAATCCTTTTTTAGATTGATTTGATATGAACCATTCGAAAAAAAATCGGTTCGGATATCGACCGGAATCAATAATCTTAAAGTCAACAATCTTTTCACGAAATATATCATATTTACCACAAGAGAAATCTAATGCATATAGTTTGACTTTTCCAAATTTTTTTCAAAAATCAAAAAATAATATCAATATTTGCTAAAATTTTCATTAAAATGAGGAAAACAAAATAATTTTGGAATTTTAGATAAGTAAAATACAAGCATTTTACCAATAATCTATAGGTGTTCTATTGAATTATTGCTTTAAAAGTTAAATCAAATTATAATATTATTCGTTATCTATATTTTTGCAAATTAATTCAATAATCTTATCAAGGTCTATGAGATTTCAAACTCGATAAACTCTTAATGCATGATTTTAATGCGAAAACCCATAAAACGTTCATTTTTTATTTTCCCAGAAATGGATTCAACATCTATCCAACCAATAGATGAAGAACCTGCTGAAAATGATGTTTTCCCAGAGCACCTGTTGAAGATTCACGACGCTCTTACTAAATTTGAAACAGAATGCAACAACAGATTAGATGAGTTAGATATTGATGTTGACACTTTACTTGGAAAAGCAAGTGCAACACGTTCAAGTATTGCTAACACTTCATCCAATTCTTCTTGTTCTTCTATTGCATCTTTAGAAATGGTAAATCTCGAAAGTGCAAGGCAAAACTCAGATTTAGCAATTATATCTGACGAGGAATTTGATTTTAACTGTTCAATAAATCAACTCATAATGAATATACGAAATGATCTTAAAACAAAATCATCAACGAGACGTTTGATCGGAAAGGTGAATCAGAAGTTCGTTGATTCATCACTTCAAAGATTTTCATCACAAGTTACTGCTATGGTTAATCAGCAAGTTAATCAAAAACACAGCGAATTAGAAGAAGAAATTAAACAGATCGAAACCGAGATAGATAACCTGAAGGAACAAGCTCAGAAGGAGTTTGCTGAACTAAGGGCCGCTATCAAAGATATCCAACAGCTTCAAGAAAAATCTACAAATGAAAACGGCAACAAAAAGTCGTTAAGTCAGAAAATTACATCTCCCACATTAATACGTAAAGATTCAATGAAATTCAGGCGTCCTAAGAGTACAAACAAAATCCCCAGCATTACAGAACTGATGCTGAATGCGACTCGCCCTGAATCTATCAAAGATATATACATATAATACATGCAATCCTTATGAAGGCATTAATTTTATATTTCTCTGAACATTTTTTGATTCGGGTCAGCTAACCAAAAAATCAAAGCGCCAACACATTAAATTACCAATAACACATCATTCGAAGCTGATTTACATATCAATTTTGACGAACTTCTGAGAAGAAAAATTTCTTATTGATTTTCTATCTTTTCAGTTGTATTTACCAATCTTAACCAATATTTCCTTGTTAGTATCGAATATATCCGACATTTCCGTAATTCTTTTCGTCAATTTTCCATTGATTAATTTCGTTGTAATAACTCAAGCCAGACCTACAACCAACACTCGTTTTAACTCTACTATGATACATTTTTGTATCTTTTTTATGATTGATTTCTAATTGATGGAATCAATTTAGTTTTATACCATGAATTTGTTAACAGTTAAAATATTCATTTTGAACTTATTATATTTACATGCTTTTTTATTCAATAGATGTTACATTGTTTTGAATGTAGTTGAAATATCTTTTCAGAACAAATTCTATCTAACGATTACTTGGAATCAATAAGGGAAAGCATTTTGAAGTATTAAACAATGTAATTTTGTTTTTATATTATTTCAAATTTATTTCTCTTGATTTATCCCATGATTCCACTGAAAAAATAGATATCCCACTGAAGGATGTTTATGATTACTCTTTTGACTAAATCATTTTTTCCTTTCCTAGAATCACTCCAATGACTGAGAATGAGAAGCCTGGGAAACAATCTGGAAAAATGAGTGTAGCAGATCTTAAAGCAAAATACAATGCAGTTGTTGATAAAAATAAGTCTCTAAAAGATAAACTTGCCACTGCAAATTCCGATATTGAGAAGTTAACTGACGCAATTAAAGCACGAGATCAAGCAATCGATTCAAGAGACCATAAAATCCAAGAGTTAACACAATTATCCACAGATTTAGAAGCGAAACTTGCAAAAGCAAATAATTCCATTATTTCTGATATTACAAAAGAATTATTCGGTAAGAATCAGGAACAAGAACAGCAAGAAGTTCAAGATCAGTCAGAAATTGTAGCCCAACTCAATCAGGAACGTAGAGATTTAATGGAAAAAGTCAAAACATATGAAAACTCAGACAAAGCAAATAAAGAACTTATCGAGAAATACAAAAAGGCTATATCTGATCTGGAAAATGATCAAAAAACTCTTAAAGATAAAATTGTTGATTTGGAAAATAAGAAATATGACTCTGTTACAGACATTTCATCCGAATTATCCGACTTGATAAAAGAAAATAATTCACTACGTGAGCAACTCAGGCTCAGCGAACTCAATAAAACTGATACAACGAAATATGATCTGTTAAACGAAGAGAACAAGTTACTTAAGAAGACAAATAACGATTTAACACAACAAACAAAAGTACTTGAGAAGAAAATTCAAGACTTACAAGATGATATTTCAAAAATTGAACAATATAAAGAGCAAATTTCTCAATTAAAAGGATCCCATGACGAAACAAATGATAAATATGTAGCTTTACAACGTGAAAATGCTTCTCTACAGTCGAAATTCGATACTTCCAAAAAACAATTTGAAGATGAAATTTCAAAACTCAACGACAAGCTTTCCAAAGCACAAAAGGACATCGACAATAAAGTCAAGGAATCAGGATTATCACAAGCATCACTAAATGATGAAATACAGAAGCTTTCTCAAGAAATTTTAAATCTTAAATCCGAAAATACGACAAAGTCACAGAAAATCGATTCATTAAATGACGAATTGACCAATACAAAGTCAGAGACAACCAGACTAAACAGTTTAATCTCAGAATTGAAGCAAGATTTAAATCATTCCGAAAATAAGGGCGTTGACCTTACAAATCAGCTTCACAAAGCACAAGGGGAGATCACAGAGTACCTCAAGCGTATCAATAACTCTCTAAACGAGATAGATTCACTTACAACAATAAAAGATGATCTCACTTCACAAAACAATTCAATGCAAAAGGAAATAACCAACTACAGATTGTCCGTTCAGAAATTAGAGAACACTGTATCTGAAAAAAACAAAAGAATCCAAAATCTCGAAGAAAGAGCTCAATCCAGGTTTAATGAGAGCGCAGAACTACAACATGCATACGAGAGAATGAAGGCTGAGAATGAGAGAGTCAAATCTGAAAGCCAAGAGTCGATTTCTAAACTCCAAACGAAATTAGATGAAATTGAGAAGAATTTTGAAGAGAAAAGAATAGCTTTGGACGCGGAATTGGTTAAAGTACAGAATCTGACTAAGCAGAGAGATAAAATGGAAGGATTAAAGAGAATGGCCGACAGAAAAGTCGCAAATTTGGAAGATGAAAAGGCAAAACTGGTCCAAAAGTTGTCAGCCTTAGAGAAAGATAGAACTATAAAGGGAGGAAAGAGTCAGGATAGCTCAATCTTCCCTGGATACATGAGAAAAGTCTTATTACAGTTCTTCATTCAGGATGGAAGCACAAGAGAGTCATTAATATCTATAATTCTTAATCTAGTTGAATGTGATGACAAATTGATCAGGCAAGCCCAGCGTTCTTGGAGAGATTCAAACCAAATCATCACTCATTTCTTCAAATTTTAAGTTTTTGTTATTATTTATTTGTTATATTTATTAAACCATAAAATTGTCATAATATCATTTCTTTATTTTATCATTTATTATTTGTTTTTGAAGATAATCTCAAGTTTATATGAGAAATAATACAAAAGATGAGTTCAAAATCAGATAACAGTTGATAAACTTTAAAGTGAAGTATGATTTGGCTATTTAGCATCAATTTTTAAAGAAAATATTAATTCTATATCATTTTGAATTAAAATATCTTATAGAATCATAAATTATATTATGGATAAATTAGCTATTTAAAGAGCATTAACTTCATAGAATCCTTCATTTTCAAAATTAATTCTATAAAATAAAGAAATGAAACAAATGGATAAGTAAACATTTTAAAAAACATTTATTATATTACCTTACTTTTCAACAACAAGATTACTTTGCGATAAAGAGCGCAAATTTCCTGCAGATGCAGAAGAAGAGTTAGCAGAAGCCATACTCTTCTCGAATACGTATGCTTGAGCCAGCATATCCTCAATTTCTTGCGGATGCCAGCCATTCGGGTCAATTGCCTGCATCAAAATGATAAATTCTGCGTGATTTAACGGCATGAGCTTATAAGCCATTGCATCCATCAAAGCAGCGCACATATATACATGGGAAGTTGCAATTCTGTTGTGGTGAGAGAGATAATTGTCCCAAATTCTGAAAATAATCGAAACAGAGAATTCTCTTACAAGTAGACAGTTGACCCAACGGAATGCGAATTCCTGGTACTGTATTTCTTCAGCGGCGATATGCTGTGCAAGCTCTGGATTGACTTTATCAATGACAAGTTGAATGTTATCCAAAATCTTGTAAAGCCCTGGCTGATCCTTAGTGTAAAGGTCTTGTAAACCATCGAGAAGCTTTGAAAAACACCAGAAACAGTCGGCTTCGATCTCTTTTAATGCTTCTTCTGAAATGTCGTCAATATTCTCTAATTTCTCGAGCTGCGATGGGTCCTTGATCTGGTGGTGTGGAATTAAGAATGCGAAGAAGAACGGTTGAAGTAAATCATTCATTCCTTGGACGTAACCACTCGCTGGATGACGAACAGACCAAACGAATAGTACTCTCTCAAATAAATCTTGAACCTTTTTGTTTCGAAGAAGAATAATCTTTGTTCTAGGAAGATCACGATCTATTTGCGAAATTGTCGATTTTTGAGCGTTAGTCCAAAGATGTCTTTGAGATTCGCTGTATACTCTTTCGAGACAATCAAAGTAATCGTTTCTTTTATGGGTTAATGTTGTTTCTGAAAGATTTTTGTTGACAGGTTGATAATCTAAGAAGAGACGCCAGATTTCAGCTCTGAATCTGTCAGGAATACCTGCCCAGGCCATGTTTCTGATCTTTTCAACATCAATTACGTTTTGACTAAGTAGATTTTCGATCATCATCTCTCTTTTTTCGTTAGGATCAACTGGAGTGTATACAGGAGAATTTGTAGGTGCGGATGCTGGATACTGAGGTAACTGGTTACCATGACCTGACCTTGTTCTGAATCTTTCGAAAAAGGAAGTCCTAGGAGTTTTCGACATCCCTTTTTTTTTCTTGAATTTTTTTTTCATTCTATCGTTATATTTTATATTGAAAAAATTTTGTAATCGAAATTAAATCATGTATAAATGACATGAAAGCGAAATAGCTGAACTATTTAATTAATTTCAATTTCTGGCACTCTCAACTCATATAATAATTACCATAATCTCCTAAATGTTTTCTTATCCCTAACGTGTGCCAGTTATTATATGAAACTGAATAAACTTTATCTTTATCTTTACACCTTTCATCATTACCAATATATTTATATCTCAGTTTTGATTTAGCGTTTTCATATTCATTAGCGTTTAATAATTCGCAGTCTTCCTTTTTAAATTGATGTTTAAGATATTCAGGATTTAATACTCTACGTTTATATGCTCCTAACTTAGTTCTAAAGGTTTTTCTACAAAATTTAGGAATTCCATCCTCTTTAATGTCATCAATGATTTCCATTTCATTATTTTCAATTTCTTCTTCTCGTTTATGAGGTCTTTGATTATGACTCCATTGATTCCATGAAATTAAATATTCTTTATCATTATATTTATACCTCATTAGCTTATTTTGGCTTTCATATTCATTTAATAATTCACAATCTTCATTTTTAAATTGAAGTTTAACCCATTCAGGATTTAAATGATGTTTAATTAATCGTGGAATATCTGACATCATCTATATATAGATTATTTTATAAAAGATAAAAAATAAATTATTTTAAAATTAATGTTAATTTTTTTAATGATTTATAAATAAATATATTTTAATGCATCGTCTATATATAGATGTAACAAAAAAAGTCACTAAACCCGTCCGCATATACTACTACTCGTTTGATTATTCGACATCAAAATAATCTGATAATCATACTTGAATTATAGAGAAACATAGATTTCCCAGGTAAAAATCATGATACACTGCTTAATTTTCAATTTCAATTCAAATTTTACGTTTAAATCAACAAACGATTATTGATATACTATCTAAAGACTAAGTTGTTGAAGAAAACAACAATGAAATTGCATAATTTTATGATCCATGGTTATAAACTTGAACCGGATGATCTTGATATCAATAAAGTACCAGTAAAACGTACTTACACAGCAGCAGAAAGGATATCAAAGAAAATTAACATCGAGAAAGAGCATTTAATTCCAGATGATGCTAAATTTTGGGATCAATTTTCGGAATACGTTGATCAAGTTGACGAACAAGGAGTATATACATTATTAGAAATACTAATAAACGTCGCTGAGAAGCGTGCTTTTAAATATAATGGACAATTTGCTGCAAATAATATGGCTGCAAAATTCTTATACATTTGGTCACCAGAAACACCTATTGGAGCATTAGTTATGAAGTCAATATTCTTATTAATTACTTATTCCGATACATATCTCAACGAATTTATCAAATGTGGAATAATTGAGTTTTTAGCACAACACATGTTTATTACTCCCACTCCAGACGAATCAGTAAGAAATATGATTGCAATATGTTACGAAATTTCCAGATCTTCTCTTGAAAATCGAAACAAAATTTTAGAATTCCTAAATATACCAGCCCTTTTTGATTATTGCGTGAACCATGAATCAGATTCGAACAAAATAAAGCTAATGTTCAATCTTCTGATTTCTATTTTGAAATATCCAGAAATAACAGATGTTTTATACGAAAATTGTTTAGAAATCTACAGAATTAGTCGAGAAATATACTTACCTAATCCAAAATTTGAGAAATATCATTGGGAATTCACAAAATATCTCTCTTTTTTCCCTGATTTCGTTGAAGAGATAAATAACACGGATCCACAGCTAGAAAACCTCTTGAACACAGTCAATAATGCATCACAGATGCATTTGACAATAGTCTGCATCATTATTTCCAATTTATTATCAAATGGATTTTCTCCAAATGAAAATATCATAATTTTCATCCAAAATGTCTTTAAATTATCAGATTTCATATATATAATACATCCAACATGCTTGATTGTACAAAGTTTGCTTGAAACTAACAGTTTACCACAAAATTCAATAAATTTAAAACAATTGATAGATATTGTCAATAGCGGACCAAACAATTCAAAAACAATTGCATTTTCAACTGTTTGCGCACTTATTCACCAGTTTAAAGATGTTTTTGACGCAATTGATTTCGGAATTCTTGAATCTATTGTAGAGATCTTAGAATTTGGCCAAGATGCAAATTCTGTAACAGAAGCTGTCCAACTACTTGACTACATCATCACAGAACACCAGAATTATACACACAAAACAACTGTTTTTGATAAATTTGTTGAAATTGGCGGAATTGATTTGCTTCTTGATGTAAAAGATGATTTTGACGAAGGAACTGCATTTCTTATTGATTCTTTCCTAGCAACTCATGCTCCTGAAGAACAGGAATAAATATATATTGTTTGATTTGTTTATTATAGAGAAAAATAAATTGTTTTTTATTTTAATATCTGCAAATGATATAATAGTATCTCACACAGCTAGTAATTAACTTGATATAAGTTCAACATCTCATCAATGAGATAATGATTAAAACTTCATGTGTGTAAATTTTGTAGTCTCTTCATTTCCTGTTTTCACTGAAATAGATTTCATGTTTTAATCTATGTATTTTCATGTGGGCACATGTTGGAATAGACATTTCCCTCTAAACATTTTTAGATGAAGAGATAATATGGTGTATATTATCCCATAAATTGATTGTTTTCTATAAAATTGAGAAGGTATGAATTCGAGTTTCAGCTGTCGAAACACTTCTACTTTTCGATTTTACTCCAGAAACAATGCATCATTCATTGCATTCTATGAATAAACATGAGAGCTGGATGAGAGTGTACATCAAATTAGGCAATTTTGCGTTGTTAAATAAGCATTTGACATTGATTATGTTGATCATTTTCAGAGATATGGTTTTTTAGCGAAGTCTAGAAAAGTGACAGATTTTAAAAGATTTTATTGGAACAAAGAAGGGTTATATGTGGACTTTGATAATTATTGGAGTTTACCTCTTTCTTCTTTCGTATTATTTTGAAGTCAAGAATCAGAGAAAGATCGTTATAGAGGTAATTTTATTACTTTTCGTATCTGATTTATCCGTCATTCACGAATCGTTTAAAATACATAGGTATTGGCTTCCAACATTCTTTGTAACATATTTCTTACTGATTATATATATGTTTGCCATGAATTATTTTTATAATTGGAAAATTGATAAGGAAAAAAGACTTGATTCAAATGATATTGTCACAGAAGGAAATTCAAAATTTGTTACACAAATATTGATAGCAACTGCAGTATTTTCATTTATTTATTCATTTTATAACGAACTTGGATTGCGTACAATCTTAGCTATTAATATACTTACAAAGATATCAATAGATATATTTGAATGCTTGAAATTACCTGTAAATTAACTTGAAAATTTAAATTCAAACAAGATTCGAAAGAAATATTAATACATTTGAAATCACACAACATGATATTTTATTATTCCTGCTTTATAGGCAACAATTCAAAAATTTTATAGTGATATTCAATGAATTTCAGTCAAAGATTAGTTTTAATGTGTAAGTACGTATACCATTTTAGAGTATATACCAAAGTACCATGTATATCTCTTTATAATTTGTTTTGTATCTTATATTATTAAATCTTTTTTTTAAAAGTATCTTTGTTCATTCTTTCCCAATTAATTTCAATATGTATTGTCATTTATGTAATCATTTAATACAGTGTCAATAGTTAAATAAAAGAAAAATAGTATTTTATTTCTATATCTTTATAAATCAAAATCAGAATAACAATAAAACAACAAATTCATGTTCATGGTTCTTCATCTGAAGAAGGAATTTGGTCTGGATTCAAATTCAAAAGTTTTGCAAAGCAAACTTTCTTTCCAGTCATTATTTCATCGAAATATTTGTGTCTGAACTGCCAAGGAATGTATTGAATGTCCTTCTTCTCAAAAACTGGCTGAACAATGTCAACAGATTTCTGATCAATCAAATCTTGAAGAGTTTTGACATTGTTGATCTTGTATTTGCTCAGTAACTTCAATTGGAGATCAAAAGTATATGGTTTCTGCTGAAGAATAAAATCTTGAATAAAAATGTCGATTAAAGCTTCAGCTCCGTACTTTTGAAGGGCCTTTATGCAACTGAGAGTGAAAATCTCTTCGTATGGCAACTCAATTGTTACAGAAGGGTTAATAACTTTGAGATTTCTCAAAAGTATCAAAAATGGAGCCAAAGCAATATAAGTTTCGTTGTGCTTTGAATTAAATATCGCATTCTTGATAGAATTGATGAAAACATCGTAGTTTGGTGACTCAATTAAAAATGAAACAATATGTGGTGAAAATTCAATCAATATTGCAATGAAATATAAATAAGTCTCTAAAGATCTTAATGCTTCATCGTTCTTTTTGGTCAAACTCCTCTTTATTGACTCATTTATTAATCCATTTGCGATTTCTTTGTTGATTGGAAGGTTTTTCAACATAACAGTGGCAGAAGATATCATTGCAAAGGTAGTTGCATGAGAAGCGTACGACAAAAGCTTTAATAACATAAATTCTGGCAATTTTACGTGATTTGCAATGACAAGAAGAGGTAAAATGAGGGATGGTCTGTAATGGAATAGAAGTACTCGCCTAAATTGGTCTTTGTTTTTCGAAATAAATGTAATTATTGAATTATAAGCTTGATTTGCATGAAAATTGATCGAATCAGACTTGGAATCAGGTATCTGGGCAAGCATGATGTATTTCAGACACAAAAGAATGCTGTCAGCATTGGCTTCGTTGAGAATTGAAACATGAGATGAAAAATCATCAAAAATTTTGCCTAAAAAGTCAAAAAATAGGGTAAATATCTGAAACATGTAGTCCATTGTGATGATTGAATACAGATTTGGTACATTAAATATGAGATTACGTACATTATAAATTATTTTCAAAATTCTTATGGAATTTTCTTCAATAATCGACCTCATTGTTGTGAAATCGAATGAAGAAAAGCGAATAATGGCATTATAAACACTCTGAAGGTATAAATTTGTGTTTTTTGAAGGAGATATTTTTTCAAAATCCAAAATGAAGTTGGATAACTCAAAATTAAGTGGCTCAAGACTCAAAATGAAGTCTTCTGGTATGTATTTTCTATTTGTGTAAAAGAATTGAAAGAATAAATATCCAAATTTGGAAATTAACAAAGAATACTCTTCAGACTTGATGTATGTGAACAGTGAAGCCATTATACTTCTTCCCGCTGGATTTCTCAAGTTTTGGAAAAATGTTGGAATTATTGTGACGTTTTCTGGACTTAAGAAGGAAATATAGATGGAATACAAGAAGGATGACCTTGCTGAGTCACTGAGTTCAACAAATTTTCCTAATTTGACAAAATAATCTTGTGATTTGTTGAAATCTTGCGAAAAGAGTGGAAATGTAAAGAAATATGCCAATCTTAGTATTTGGTTCATGTAATTTCTATCGTTTTGTGAATACTTCGAATATCCCCTTAAAAACTCAATTGGACCGGGAAAATACTGGCACTGCTTGTTGTATTTGATCTCATTTGGCGAAAACTTCTTGGCCATGTATGGAAGAATCAATGACAGAGCTAATTGATTCTCTGGCTCTTTAAAAAGAACGCCAGAGAGAAGTTGGACTAATGAATCCGGCATCTCTTGTATCCATTGAGTTTTGTAATGAAGTGATTGGTTGTTGAATGCAACTAAAACCAAATAAATCTTTTTTAATTCGATATTTTCGCTATTTAAAGCAATTTTTGCTAACTGTAATTGCATAGGTCTGTACACAGGGAAATATACTCCGTTGTTGATCATGTAAATAAGATTTGCTGCAAATTTCGAAAAAATTATTTTTGAATTATTGCTTTCTAAGAAAGAAATGCATCTTAATATTAAATCTAATGACATTTCTAGATGAGGGGACGTTAATTTAAGAGCTTTACCGATAATGACTTTAAAAGGATATAAAAGTTTATCGATTAACTCTGGATTGTTTAAGAATTTGATCTCTTTTAGGTTGTAGTCACGAACAATGCTTTCTTCAGTTGCTTGTTTTGGTAAAATAGATAATGGATCTAATTGCAAAAAATATTCATGATTCATCCAACGAAAAAAGAGAACTTAATTTTTCAAATTTACTACTTACTCTGCACTTATAATCCATCAATACCGAATTATTGCAAAGATATCGCTTTGTGTATAAAATTCTAATGTGGCTTAAAATTGATCTCAAAGTTTTAAGCTCAAATAGCAAAATTTTGCTTCTAAGTAGTGAACGGAATCTAGACTAGCTATTGAAGCTTCCAGTTTATAATGAAATAAACTGTGAAATTTTTATCTGCATGAGAACTTAATCCAGCTCTAAAAGATTATTGCTGATCTCCAAATATATGGTGTTTCAAGCCATGTAATTTAGAAAAAAAAATTTTATATTTCATGGAAAAAATAAAAATGTAAATTGACAAACAAATATATACTAACTATTCTATTCAGAAAAAGGCGGTGGTGATGAGCTGCGTAAATTATCACCAATATATGGAAATTCTTGTATACTTATCCTTCGAAGAACATTTGCTGAAGGAGTATTAATCTTGATCCTCTGTAGTCTAAGACCTTGACGGGGAGGGGGTTTAACGGCTAATGGAATATTCCATAAATTATTTATCATTTTTACAGCCGCGTCGCCAAGCTGTTGGTCTCCTAAATAAATGTACGAATTTAGGATTTGATTTCTGAATTCTATCATTATTTCATCAAATCCTCGAATATTAAATGATTTTAGAAGATTGAGGAGTTGAGCTAATTTAAATTTCATGGTACATGTGGCTTTAGGATTTCGCATATGGTTAACAATTTCAAGAATAAAAAGTCTTGTGTCTGAAATCTTGAAATTTTCGACGCAATGTTTGATAGAAGTAATGTTTTGGAGATGCCATCCTCCGCCGGGAAAATTCATCTCAGACAAGAGGGAATCCTTGGCAGTCTGTAGTTCGTTGGATTGTCTCTGAGACATTTAAAATAAGAGGATAAATGCTATTTTGAATATAATCGTTGAAAATTGAAATTATGACTCATTTTTAATTTCGTGAATCATATGCAATATTAATCTAATATATTTTAATAACCTTGATATTGAAACAAAGAAAAGTGGTACACAAAAATTTTGAAAACCTAACGGGCCAGCTCAGTAAAAATATCTTGTATTACTATCAACAAATATAAATAATATTAACAAATTATAAATTAGTAGTCAATTTTATTTTGATTTTCTCAGAAAATTAAATTATCGTTTAAGATAGATATACATATTTTTACTTAATGGTTGACAATGATTCGATAAAAATTTGTTAAAAACTTTTTCAATAGAATATTTGAGATCCTTAGTTTGGCCGAATTGTTATAGACCGAAAATAGATTTTTTCAGTTTTCTCTTCAAATAATTGAAAGAATGATACTATTATAGGTTTATTATATTATATAGCATATAATCATGCTATAGCCGAAAATTATAAGTTTTGAGAAGATTGAATATAACACAAATAAATTTGAATGTAAGTTAAATTGCTTGTTGTTTTTAATAGCTATTTAATGAGAAATCCAATATTGCAAAATTCAAATTGAATGATTGAAAGAACAGAAAAAGTCATTCTTTTCAATTTCGAATATGTTTCATTGTATTTATAATTATATGGCAAATAAGATATTTAAACTTGATTTTTGAAGCAAAATTCACAAAATTGAAAAAATTCAAATAATTTTTATTCAAAAATAAACTAGTTATTTGAGTTTAATACTAATTATCTATTCAAACTACAAAGTTTGTAATTTAAAATATTTTGTGAGATCAGATTGAATTAATTCAAGGTTCTTTTCAATTAATATTAATGACCATATTACGCATTTTCGAACATTCTAAACCAAATATATAAAAATGGGAGACGAATGTTAAATTTGCTAGACATGGGGGAGTTGTCTGCAAAGTTTTAGCTCTTATCTCTAACAAAAAATTAATTTTTAAAAAAAAGACCGAATACGTTTCACAGCGAGAAAAAAATAAAAGGCAAGATAGAATTTTCTAGACATAAAGAAGTTGTTTACCGAGTTTTAGCTCTTATCTCTAACAAAAAATTAATTTTTAAAAAAAAGACCGAATACGTTTCACAGCGAGAAAAAAATAAAACTGTACACTGATTTTCATTTTAATTTCCAGTCACTTTACTTATTATTTTTTCTTTTTTCATTTTAATTATAAATTATTTCATAATACGTTTATTTACGTTACCATTTTCTTTATTCTTTTGAATTCCATACTAGACACTTATAGAATATTTTGATTGTTAACGTACTTCATTAGAATGAATCCTTACAAAGGGTATGTCGATCGAATTTACCTAATTGGTATTTCCAATCAGATTGAAGAAGGTAAAATGACATGGGAAGAAGCTTGCACCCATGTTCCCATCGCCCCAACCCTTCAATCAAATGATTTCAAATATTTAGATGTTTCAAAATCTTTTTACAAAATCAATTTAGCTTACAGAATATCCCATTGCCTAAAGGCAAGAAAGGTCGTAGGGTCAATCCCTACGACCAAATCAAAGCTCTTGCTGTGATACATGACCACTGGGCCTTTCCCTGTGGTCAAACAAAACAATGGAAACGTTTGAAATTACAACAAATTGATGTATCTTATAGAGAAGTACGCAGATACTTCAAAGAAAATCATTTCACCAAGACGCGATTAGAGCATGCCGGGCCAGAAACAGCAGTAAGATATTGGGCGCTTTCACCCAATCTTATCTGGCACGCAGATGTTCATTATTTTAGGGGTGTTCGTGGCCAGTATATTTATGGCATAATCGACGATTTTAGCCGCAAAGTCCTAGCGTGTATACAAATACCAGATATGCTGGCAGCGACGACAGCGAACGTTGCGGCTTCCGCCTTCATTGAATTTGGCGCCCCTTATTGTTTCTGGACCGACAACGGTTCAGAAAATAGGGGCGCCTTTCAAGATCTACTTGATCTTTGGGGCGTCCAATGGCGGCATACAGACTCTCATTCTCCCTACCAAAATGGGAAGATTGAGAGATTCTGGCCGACATTGGAGCGCTGCCAAAGCATTCAGGCTATTCCTGCCTTTATTTGGGAGTACAATAATAACACACCGCATGAAGATCTCCCAATTAATCCATTAACTGGAACAAATTACACGCCAAATCAAATGTATCAGCTGAAACCGAAATACACAAATGCAGATACAGAAAGGTTGTGGCAAATATGGGATACAGATACAGGCATGACCGCTGTTGACACATTCACAGCGTAATAATAAACATAATTTTTTAATTTCATTTTTAACAAGTTTTTTTAAATGTATGTAATGAATAATTCATTAGAATATGATAATGCACATTGTAACAGAATAGAACAATCACCAATTTTTTTTTGAAATTAAAAAATAAAAGTAAAAAGTATAAAGTAATCTAACCAAAAAAGACATTTAAAAGAATTTTGGAAAAAACAGAATAAGGATAATGATATTATTTTAGATACACAATCGATGTACTGAAGAATAATCCGGTAAAATGATGATATAAAATTAGATTATTTTACAATTAGCTAAAAGAATAAAACTATAATATAAAATAAATGAAGTTTAATGAAACAAGAAAGGTTAAATAAATAATAAAGATTTTTATTTTATATCAGTATTGAGAAGAAGTAACAGCTGACACTTGGTAGACAACTTCTTTATGTCTAGAAAATTCTATCTTGCCTTTTATTTTTTTCTCGCTGTGAAACGTATTCGGTCTTTTTTTTAAAAATTAATTTTTTGTTAGAGATAAGAGCTAAAACTCGGTAAACAACTTCTTTATGTCTAGAAAATTCTATCTTGCCTTTATTTTTTTCTCGCTGTGAAACGTATTCGGTCTTTTTTTTAAAAATTAATTTTTTGTTAGAGATAAGAGCTAAAACTCGGTAAACAACTTCTTTATGTATAGAAAATTCTATCTTGCCTTTTATTTTTTCTCGCTGTGAAACGTATTCGGTCTTTTTTTTAAAAATTAATTTTTTTTAGAGATAAGAGCTAAAACTCGGTAAACAACTTCTTTATGTATAGAAAATTCTATCTTGCCTTTTATTTTTTCTCGCTGTGAAACGTATTCGGTCTTTTTTTTAAAAATTAATTTTTTGTTAGAGATAAGAGCTAAAACTCGCGTAAACAACTTCTTTATGTCTAGAAAATTCTATCTTGCCTTTTATTTTTTTCTCGCTGTGAAACGTATTCGGTCTTTTTTTTTAAAAATTAATTTTTTGTTAGAGATAAGAGCTAAAACTCGGTAAACAACTTCTTTATGTATAGAAATTCTATCTTGCCTTTTATTTTTTTCTCGCTGTGAAACGTATTCGGTTTTTTTTAAAAATTAATTTTTTGTTAGAGATAAGAGCTAAAACTCGGTAAACAACTTCTTTATGTATAGAAAATTCTATCTTGCCTTTATTTTTTTCTCGCTGTGAAACGTATTCGGTCTTTTTTTTAAAAATTAATTTTTTGTTAGAGATAAGAGCTAAAACTCGGTAAACAACTTCTTTATGTCTAGAAAATTCTATCTTGCCTTTTATTTTTTCTCGCTGTGAAACGTATTCGGTCTTTTTTTTAAAAATTAATTTTTTGTTAGAGATAAGAGCTAAAACTCGGTAAACAACTTCTTTATGTCTAGAAAATTCTATCTTGCCTTTTATTTTTTTCTCGCTGTGAAACGTATTCGGTCTTTTTTTTAAAAATTAATTTTTTGTTAGAGATAAGAGCTAAAACTCGGTAAACAACTTCTTTATGTCTAGAAAATTCTATCTTGCCTTTTATTTTTTTCTCGCTGTGAAACGTATTCGGTCTTTTTTTTAAAAATTAATTTTTTGTTAGAGATAAGAGCTAAACTCGGTAAACAACTTCTTTATGTCTAGAAAATTCTATCTTGCCTTTTATTTTTTTCTCGCTGTGAAACGTATTCGGTCTTTTTTTTAAAAATTAATTTTTTGTTAGAGATAAGAGCTAAAACTCGGTAAACAACTTCTTTATGTCTAGAAAATTCTATCTTGCCTTTTATTTTTTTCTCGCTGTGAAACGTATTCGGTCTTTTTTTTAAAAATTAATTTTTTGTTAGAGATAAGAGCTAAAACTCGGTAAACAACTTCTTTATGTATAGAAAATTCTATCTTGCCTTTTATTTTTTTCTCGCTGTGAAACGTATTCGGTCTTTTTTTTAAAAATTAATTTTTTGTTAGAGATAAGAGCTAAAACTCGGTAAACAACTTCTTTATGTATAGAAAATTCTATCTTGCCTTTTATTTTTTTCTCGCTGTGAAACGTATTCGGTCTTTTTTTTAAAAATTAATTTTTTGTTAGAGATAAGAGCTAAAACTCGGTAAACAACTTCTTTATGTCTAGAAAATTCTATCTTGCCTTTTATTTTTTTCTCGCTGTGAAACGTATTCGGTCTTTTTTTTAAAAATTAATTTTTTGTTAGAGATAAGAGCTAAAACTCGGTAAACAACTTCTTTATGTATAGAAAATTCTATCTTGCCTTTTATTTTTTTCTCGCTGTGAAACGTATTCGGTCTTTTTTTTAAAAATTAATTTTTTGTTAGAGATAAGAGCTAAAACTCGGTAAACAACTTCTTTATGTATAGAAAATTCTATCTTGCCTTTTATTTTTTTCTCGCTGTGAAACGTATTCGGTCTTTTTTTTAAAAATTAATTTTTTGTTAGAGATAAGAGCTAAAACTCGGTAAACAACTTCTTTATGTATAGAAAATTCTATCTTGCCTTTTATTTTTTTCTCGCTGTGAAACGTATTCGGTCTTTTTTTTAAAAATTAATTTTTTGTTAGAGATAAGAGCTAAAACTTTGCAGACAACTCCCCCATGTCTAGCAAATTTAACATTCTTCTCCCATTTTTATATATTTGGTTTAGAATGTTCGAAAATGCGTAATATGGTCATTAATATTAA